GGGCTTGTCCGTAGATGGACATTTCTCCCCGTTTTTATCCAGAGTTTCCTGTGGTTTGACAGAGTCCTTTTTGGTGACTGGCTGTGCTGTAGAAATCCCTGTGTTCTTGCAATAACTTTCCTTTCTAAAGGAAGCTGCCTCGTCACGTTCCTTTGCTGGCATCGAAACGTTTTGTGTTTCGATATTCTCAGGAAAAAAACTTACATTTATGTGAGGCTCTGAGTTGGGGAGCATTTTCCAAAATGTCTTAATTCTGCTTCTGAGCAAACCTGCTTGATCACTTTGCTTTTCATTCAGAGGACTGTTACTGTTGACACTGTTTTCAGTAAAAAATGTTGGATCAATACAAGTGTCTGACTCGGGGAAAGATTTCCAAAGCAGTGGCTTCTTCTTGATGCGCTTCGTCTTTCGTCTTTGTTGTCCCCGTTTTTGATCCACTTCCTTCTGTGATTCTGTAATGGATTTGTTTTCGATGACCGGCTTTGATGTAAAATTCACAGGTTCCTCTTGACAACTCTTCTTCTTGTTGGACTCACTCAGGTGGTTGTCTGTCCCCTTTTTGATCCACTGTCTGAAAAGGACAAGAGTTCAAGAGTTGATTGGTAGTTAGAATTTTATGCTTTTATGTAGTTGAACGGTATATTTCTTATTTGCACTTACTGTTTGGGTCTAGCTGTTTTTTTTGTTTTTTTTTTCTGAGAGAAATTGTTTTATTTTGAAGAACTTTTACATATAACGCCAAGTGAGCTACATCTAATTTTTTTTTTTTTTTTTTCAAAGCTGAGTTCATTGTTGTCAGTGAGAAAACCAACAGTTTAACAGAAAATGCGTAATTTTATTTTGGTATGTTTTTTGTTCCTTTTATGTCTTGCCATGGGCTATTTTTATTTTTATTTTTTTGCCTCCGTTCTCTTGTTGTAGTTTAGGTGCAGGATTCATCTATCAAAAAAATTGTTTTGTTAAATTTTCAACACAAATCTTTGTCATGATTTGGTTTTAAAGGATAAAGGTGGTAATGATGATGATGATTTAATAATAAATCCAAAAGCGCTCCAGCACAGAATAGACAAACAGGCAGCAAGACTTTACACGACGCAAGACGTGTAAAGGAACACAAGGAACACAGACAACAGGTGGGACTAAATACACTGGGAGGGTAATCAAAGAAACGAGACACAGCTGGGAATCAATCAACAGGGAGGACAGGACATAACAGACTCACATGGGAACAGGACACAGAAAAACCAAGAAATAAATACACTGAAAAACACAGATCACAACAATCTTTAGTTTTATTATAATAAAATATGTAACTGAAAAGATGCTTTTTATTGACTGGCTTAGCTGATACTAGTCAACGGAAAAGTAGAGTCAAGTGACAATATAATTTTCCATGTGCTGACATGTTGGATGCAGTCAACTGATGACTTTCAGAAATATTCAGAACAGTGACTTGCGGTCAGGGGAAGCACATTCTGTTCTCTGAAGGTGAATAAAACTGGGAAATTGGTGTAATTTCCTGGTTTCCTGTCAGTGAGCTGATTAGTTCGTATTCATGGAGTTTTCTGACTGTTACTGGAGTCTGTCTACCTTCTTTCTAATCTCCCACTGATACATGTTACTGCATCCATTTTATTAAAAAAGTTATTTGGTTTATCAGCAACCTGTTTAGTCTGACACATCCGTTTATTATTATTTTTTAAAATGTATGTTCCACATGGAAACACCTTCCCCTTCAACAGCCAGTAACGACTCACCGGGACAAAAATCCAGTCTTGCCAGAAACACTAAGCACTACTTCTAAAATGCTCTTTTTGTTCCACGTTATGTAATTTTCTTCTAAATATCCATCCATCCATTTTCTGCTGCTTATCCGGGGTTGGGTCGCGGGGGCAGCAGCTTCAGAAGAGAGGCCCAAACTTCCCTCTCCCCAGCCATTTTTTCCAGCTCCTCCAAGGGAACCCCAAGGCGAATTAGAAATAAAAATCTTACAATGGATGAAGATGAGTACTGATGCTGTCAGGCACGTGCAGAGGGCGGGGAGGTTAAAGGGGCTTGAGCACCTGCTCCTTTTGCTCCTTATCCCCAAGTGCCCTTTTGGCAATTTATTTATTTATTTATTGTTATTATTTCTTAAGGCCTATGACACATAATTACTTGTACTGAAATTATTTTGCTTTTTGTTGTATTTTTCACCTTGTTACCTTTGACCTTTTGCCTGTGACGCACGACGCAGTTGCCTCTTGCACAGTGAGATAATGCGTCTGACTGCAGAGCTCAACGTGGCGAACATTGCAGTTTACAGGACAGTTTTTGGTGAATAAAAAAAAAAAGGAAAAGGAATAAATATTCATGAGGTTTATATGTAACAATACGTGGTATGTGTCTGCTAGACAGTGGCATGAACAAGGCTGATGAAAATCTTTTCTCCACGCCAACAGACCTAATTTTAAGGTTAAATCTACGTGTAGAGTCGGAGTCAGCCCAAGGTATAATCAAACTAAGCTACATTTTAGTGGCCCCAGACTATCACGACTCTCCCATAAATACTTTAACTTAAACAGACAATCTAAAATGTTTATTTTTATAGAGAATGATTTTACCAAATCAAGCTATCAAATTTTGGTGATTTCAGCATTGATAAATTAAAATATTTTAACATTTAAAGGAACTTTTCTTTTTAAAAGTGTAAAAAATTATCTTTTAGTGTGATTCTTGAGTTACCATGGTTACAATCTGATGCCATGAGTTTAACATTTGTGTTTCAGCTTCAATTTGTCCATAAACTTGCCTCAGCAAATAATAAGCAATTATCTCTGACTGCTTTAAGCTTCGCCCAATCTCCCAGATTCCACCACATCTGGATTAAAACACTGTTGCTGGTGTTCTGAACATGAGGACAAGCTCTATATCATGTTCTGCTTGGGCCAGCCCTGTGTACACAGTACGTTTCCTCTTCAGGAACATTTCCTGGAATAACGGTAGTTTTTTTTCTTTGTTCGCTCTTGAAAACTTAAATCCCGCCTTTGGGTTTTCCTTGAGATTATAGGTTTCTGCCTTGCACACCTCCTATGAAAGCTTTGCAGTCTGCTGCTTGTGGAAACATGCATTCTCCCAGATGTCCTGTGATGATGCAAAGTTTTATGATGGCATCTTTTAGCATCTTATTGTCTGCGCTCAGGTGAGGAATTGTTGCCAGTTTTAAATGTTCTCCATTTATGAACCATCTTTACATCCTTCTTCACTTAGTCAATTCTCAAAATTAGCAAAAAGTAGACATTGTGGCAATTCTTTACATCAAGTAAAACTAGTCTTTGTTAAAACAAATTGGTCGAAGTAGTTATTTAAGTTTGCACACTTACTTTTACCAATTAGAAACCTGAGGACCAATAGTGCCACTCCGAAGAGCAACACCAGTTTTTACACATATTGTGCATAAAACAAAGCTAAAAACAGCCACTTGTAACAGTGATAATAAAAATGTGCAGGTTTCTCAACAATATTATCACTACTCACCCATTATTTATTAAGCTAACAAATTTACCATCAGCAATAGCTACAACATAAAACAAGGAAATTAAGTAGAGACAGACGCAGTGCAAACTGTTAAGAGCTGGGATTTTAATAAAACAGAAAATAATAATAATAATAAAAAAATCAACAATAACAAGTTCATGAAAATTTGATCACATATTCCTGATTAAAAACAAAATGAATCCAGAGCTGGAGAAAAGAAAAAAAAAAAGAAATCCATTCAATAAAACACCTCCTCATTTAGCAACGCTTTGCATTCAAGCACACACGTCTTTCATTAACCGTACTGCTTCACTAATACACGCTTCCGACTGGTAAATATCCTTACAAAAAATACTTCTTATATGTGAAAATATATCTGTACAGAGTCAACACATACTGAAAGGAATGCATGATGTAAAAATGTAACGGTAAGGTAAAGTGAAAAGCACTGAGTGACAGTGTAAAAACATCTCAGATCAGACGCAACGACAGTGGAGTAGGTCTGAAAACCGCTAGCGCAGGCGAGTTCGTCCTCGTATTTACAACAAAATCTGATCGTAATCTGCATCTAACAGTGAACACAGAACACATTGATGTGACGTTTTAGTTATTTGGTCACTCTGCAGCATAGTCAATAGTTAGAACTTAAATTACTGCACACATTGACACTGAGATCTCCATTTAGTTCATAACTTGTGGTAGTCTTGTCAGTAATGCTGTTGAGGGATCAGATTTTTTTTTATTTAATTTTATTTTTTGCATCTCTAGCACAATAAAAGGCCCCAGGAAAAAAAAAAAAAAACACATTTAAACATGATAAATTACAAAAGCTACTCAAATGCTACCAGGAGCTAATTTGTTTGTTTTCCTATGATATATAATAAATGTAACTAACGTATGCGGTGGACTGTGTTGTGTTTCGCATAAAACATAACATGCTATTCAACGTATCTCAAAAGCTATATTGAAGTAAAATAAATTAAAAGCCTATTGCAGGTGTTTTCCAGAACCATTTGATGGCACTCCATACACTCGTCATTAACACACACTTTTGTCAAACATATCCATTCTCCACTTGAGGTGTGCTTAACTCGCTGGTTGGCACTTCACTGTACGTGCACACATAAACAGAAATAAAACCTGTTCATAGTGTTGTCAATCACATGTACAGAGGCAAAAAAACGACAACAGCAACAAAAAAAGAACATGCCTGTTAAGCAGCTGAAGTCACATCTGATCACAGACAGGCAGCGAACCGCGTAGGGGAACCTAATCTGATCTTGGACCTGTGTGTTACGGACAACAAACGGACGTTTTCGGCAGGCGCAGACAAAATGACACCAATACCCACTGTGCATCCATGTGACACAGAACAAGCATAAGGCTACACATGATCGACGAAGAGAACCCAAAGTGCCTCTGAGAGGCGTGACATTCAGTGCTTCAGTGGTTCAGCTTGGTAAGGCATCGGCTCACCTGGTATCTTTTCTTTCTTTTTTTTTTTGGCACATGAGAACATTGATACACATGCTGACAAGAACACACTTGTGCCACACTGAAGTAGTGTCGTAGCCAGCTCTGTATTAGTTTTATGTGTGATAATATATTTCAACATTCCAGTTGAGATTTTCAGGAATGGTAACTGGTGTCCCTCAAATAAATATATATAAAGAAATGCACATTTTCTTCTGTTTGTGTCAACAGAGCTTGTCCAGGTGCACCGCCTTCACTTGGCTCTACTTTGGGTGTTTTTTGGGCGTCCCCTGCTTCTTGGTTTGCCACAGGTGGTTGACGATGGTGATGGCGTCCACGCTGGCAGACATGGTCTTAGCCGGGATCTTGCTGAACTGCTTCTTGTCCGAGTTGTACTTGTACAAAGTCTCGATCATCTTGGGAGTGATAGATTTTGGGCCGATGCCGGCCAGTTTGGCGATGTCCTCTGTTTCGGGGAAATACGTGTAGACGGACCTGAACTGGCAGCCGGAGTCACGGAACAACACCAGGAAGTTATTGGCTTCCGATTTCTCCATTTCCTGCAAGAGATTGTGCATAAGAAACCTACTTATTAATGACTCTTAACAGTCGCTGATAGCTTCCTGGTCAATGACATTAAGAAAATGAAAATCACTCCAGGTGTTTTGCTGCTCGTAAGTTCTGATGAAACCACCAAATGACTAGTAGAACCCATTTGATTAAGTTTATTCAATAATTTCTTTCACATGTGTCTAAATTTCCAAAATATTTCTACATATAAGGCATTATTTACAGCTTGAATACAAGAGCTTTTTGAAGAATGAATGCATGTTGTGGGGAAGGTCGTCCAAAATTATATGAAATGGGACTGGAGACTGATCAGACCATCAGTCTGCCTGATCTTTTTATACTATCAGAATAACTCGGTATAAGTAAAAACACCCAAAGAAATTGATCTTGTGTTCATATAACTTAACCTGTCAGAGTTATACGCACAGAAATAGAGCTTACATCAAGTATCTTGTTTTTCTGCCCTTCATTGACTTTGCCAGCGAGGCAGCAGTGAGCCAGGGCGTTCTGGATGATGTGCTTGTTGGACTTGGCACTAGGCTCCTTGTACAGTTTGGGTCCTGAGGGAAGAAACGGTGAGAGTGCAAAAATTACACATCCGCTGGATATGTGGACCAAAGAGAAGACAGGACTCTACATTCCTCTCCGTCCCTACCCGTATACTCTGTGTTGGAGGGAGTGGAGGAAGTGGTCGAGTCGTTTTCCCAATCTTTCTCTCCGTTACGACTGCTGGCCGAAGGACAAGAGGAAAAACCCTCCGCAGAGTCTGGCCTGACGGCAACCAACAGATAAACGCAGACATAACGACAACCACGTACGACATGTCACCACATGGCGCACACAGACATGCACAGAAACACAGAGAGACGGGTCAAAGCGAGATCAGACGTTGTGACACAGTTCTCCAAAGTCTGCCTGTTGTCTTGCGTCACGTCAAAGTGAAACGCGCGGGTGAAGCAGAGCTGTGTTCAACCAAGCAAAGCAAAGCGGCTGGCTTCATGGTTGCAGAGAGAGTTATGAAGGAAACGGCAAGCAAACAGCTAAAACATGAAGCAGAGAGCAAATGTGATACAGAGAAAGAAGAGGAGGCGGAAACAGCTCTTGCAGCCTGCGTCTGATGGACCACTCCGTACTGCAGTCAGGAAATTAACCCACATTTACGACAAACTTTAGCTCAATACAAAATTATAGTGAAGCTGCAGCATGTCTACACAGAACCACGTCTAAAAAGAGCTTTGATTTAATTTCAGAGTGTTACTAACCTTCCCTTTCTGTCTTTGGGGGAGCTTAAAAAAAACGGGATATGAGCTGAAGCTAGTTTGTGGCCTCTGAAGGACGCATGCAGGGCAGAAATAGAAGAAGGAGGAGACAAGGGAGAAAACAGAATCAAACTGTGGACAGTAGAGCTTCCTGTGGATCATGGAGGACAAGAGCCTCTTCAAACACATTCCCGACGAGTCTCATCAGGGTAAGAAATTAACTTAAGGTGAGTACAGGATTTATTAGTTTAACCTGTTAACCAGAAACAAAAAATAATTTCTAAGTCGTTTTTAAACTGATTAGCTAATTATTAGCTTGTAGGCAGTTGCCACCAATGACAAACTTCAAGATTTTATTGAGATCTCATGCCACAACCAACACAAAGTAGTGCAAAATTAAGTGCAAAAATGATACATTATTTTTATTTTTTCAAATAAAAATAAAATAAACTGTAAGTGGCATTTGTGAACAAAGTTGTGTGGAAGTCTAAAGAGTAAAGGAGATGCCCTGGTCCATTTGTACTACGTTTAAAATCCTACATATGGAAGAATGCTAACATTCCATGTAAATGCTCAGTAGCTTCAGTGAAGCATGGCGGTGGCAGCATTATGCTGTGGGTTGGTTTTAGGAAAACCTGGTTGAGGGCGCAAAGACTTGAGAATGAGGTATAGGTTAACTTTCTAACAGAATGACGACAAAGTCCTGACCTAAATCAATGTGCGTACATGGTAAGACTTAGAAAAAAGGTTTTCAGAGATTTTCTCCATTCTGTCTGACTGTGCTATATTTATTTTTTTTTAACAAGAATGGACAAAGTTTTTAATGTGCTTTGTTGTGTTATACTCACTCTAGTGTTGGCCTATTGCATAAAATCTCAATAAGTTCTCATTTACTGTTTTGGCTTAACATGACAAAATGTGAGAAATTTTGAGCGAATACACACTTTTAGCAAGGCACCATTTCTTCATATTAGATTTGTGAGTCTCAGATAAATTAAGGCCTAGTCAGTTTGTTTCTTACCTGTTGTTCTTCCTGTTATCTGGCTGGTTCCTGTCGTTGTCAGCCAGATTGAGGGACGCCGAAGAGACACTTGAGACAGAGAAGCCCCGAGGACGCACACCTGCAGTGCAGCAGCACACAGAACCAGCACGGATCAGCATGAGTCGGTCGGTGGGAACATGTATGTAACGGCGGTTTGGGAGTCCTTCACCTGTCGTTCTCACAGGAGGAGTAGATGACTCCATGATGTCCCTGTGGATGGACTTGGGGCGCTGCTTTTTCTTCAGACTTCCACTTCGAGGCTTGATGACCTCATCCATGTCCTCCATCAGCTTGAGCTGCTTCCTCCGCAGATATTCGTTCTTGATGTACTCCCTCCTCGCCTTCTCTTCGTCCTTCTTCTGTTGCTCCTCCTCTGCCTTTAGCCTGCACAAGAACAAAGGAAGCTTGTAGCAGAAGACCAAACAGAAAAGCTGAAGACAAGAACGCTCTAGATGGAGCGTGCGTCTGGACACCATGTGATGCAGAGAGGACACACCGGGCAGCTTCTTTCTTCTGCTCCTGGTCCAGCTCTTGTTGTTGCTTCCTCTCCTGCGTTTCCTTCTCCCTCCGAAGCCTCTTCTCCAACAGAGCTGCTTTCTTTGCCGCCATGTCATCTTCTCCCTTCACATCATCCTGGTGTTGAATGAGAATATTTACACACATAAAACATTCAAGTTCCTATTTTAAAGTAGAGCTGGACGATAAATCAATAATATATATCATGAAAGATGTATAGATACGTCTAATACAATGTTCAATAATTTCACTGAACTCCGATCCTGGACCACACAGCATTCTGGGGGATGTAGGCAGAGGAAAGGCTAACAGTCAGTTAAGTGAGGGTGGTGGCATCAACTCACTCGCCTCGCTGGTTACCTAGCAACAGCCTTTTGAGTAACTAGAGGCAGTTTCAGGTTTTGCCATCCTGCCTTATAACTGATTAAACATAAACAAATTAAACTTTTCCTCATAGAACTGAGGAAAGGTCAAGTCATTAGTTTGGCAGTTTTTCAGAGATTTAGAAACTAATCAATAATTATTAATATAGACTAATATGAAACCCTCCTATTGTGTGACATTTGTCAGTCATATCCAGCCCTATTTTAAAGGTTATCCCAGGCAGAGGAGACAACTAGAGAGACCAAGTGTATATTTCTATCAATTTAACCTTGTAGCTCAAATCAAGAGGGACGAAGCGTCAGACGTTTTGTTCACAAACACATACCGATTGTCTCTTGAACTAAGTTCAGACTGTTTTCTCTGCTTTCGTCTTCTTTAGGAGCAACTAGAACATTCAGGGCATGTTGCTCCAACTCACCTTAAAGAAGAATCCGCAGCACATCTTTTGGTCGTCTCCATAACTTTCTCCTCCTTTCTCTCCGTCCTCTGTGTTCTCCGGACCCCGGCCACCAGGAGGCTTTAGCCAGGACAGCGGCACCTCCACTAGGTCCTTCTTTTCCTGTTTGTCATCTTGACTCTGGCTAGCAACCCCACCTTTGCTCTCTGAAAGCGGCTGGCACAAAACCTCTGATGTCTTCGACTCCTCTTTAGATTCTGTCCTCTCCTTCAGGCGTTCATTCGTCTTTCCTTTGCGTTCTTCCTCATCACTGATCTTTACTGCCATTTCCTCTTTTTTCTTAGACTCATCTTTTTCGCCCTTGAGCTCTTGGTTGGGTCTCCCCCTGACGCCCTCGTCGTGACTCAGGTAGGCAAACGAGCTCTGGTGGCTTTGGCTGGAGTTGAAGCGCCTCAGTCTGGGCAGGCTGTCCACTGAGGCGGGAGGGTTGAGCATCCGACTGATGGGGGTGACCTTCAGGTCGTTTGGACGGGGAGTCCGAGGCGTTCTGGCATGAAACGAGGCCGGTCGTCGTTTGATGCCTGCAGGCGAACGGTTGGGGGCGCGTGGCGACCCGGAAGAGGACAGGATCGGGGACAAGGATCCCACCGACCCACGGCCCGATCCCCTGCCTGTCACACTGCTGCTGCGCAGCTCGCGGAGCTGCCTGTGCGGAAAAAGAAACAAAAACAGTAATGGGGAGCTAGCATTTCAGTCGCCTCCTCAGTGGATCTGGCAGTAGCTGCTTACCTATGCGGAGACGGAGCAGGAGGCGGGATCACCCAGGCCTGCTGCTGCTGGTCTCTCATGGCCATGATCTTCTCCTGCTGCTGGGCCAGTCGCTGCATCTCAGTCTGCAGGAAGCCCAGCGACGTGTTCAGCCTTTCAATGGACCGTGTGTATTCTGCAAGGTCGACCTCTCCAGGGGTCACGCCTGATCATCGCCATCAAACACAAGTAAATACAGAAACCTGTCACCATTTCCAAAACCAAAATCAGAGGAGCCAATAAAAAGAGAGGCATGCCAATGTTACCTACCCCCACCGTCTTCGCAGGGAGATTTGGGAGCTGCTCCATCAGGTTTGCATCTCTCCACCTGCTCCACGCTGTCCTCCTTTGAGGAGGAGATGGGCTCGGATGAAGGTGTTTCTGCCCCTCCGGAGTTCTGGCTCAGAGGGGCCGTCACTCCTTTCCTTTTTACTACATTCAGGAAGGCTGTTCTTCCCATTTTCTGGCGGTGCCTTGTGAAAGCTGCCTCTACCTGGAAATTGGGATGAACCCAGAATTAGATGTAAAAATTCACACCATCGGTTTTGTCGTGATGCAAGCCTCCGTACCTTTTTCTTTTGGGCTTCGATGGCTCTGCGTTTTTCTTCAAGTTTCATTCTCAGCTGAATCATTTCTGAGGCTATGAAGTGGGAGGGGTCTCGAGGCAACCGGGCAGCCGGAGAAGGCGACGTGATTGGCAGGGGAGGCGTCGAGAACTAGGGGCAGAGAAGCAGTGTTGATGCCAAATTTAATTTATTTCTCATCAACATATTAGAGAAAGCTGCATTTCTGTCTCTGCAGAAGACGCAGTGGTTGTCCAGTGGTTTAATTTATCAAAGAAAAAAAAAGATATTTGAAACAACATAGCGCTTAGTGAAAATACTTATTAAATTATGAACTACTGATCAACCATTTTTTAGTTCACTTTTTCCAACCACAACCAAGACTGACCGCTGCCAATCAGAACCGGCATAATTAAGAAGTCACTTAAGTAGAACCTTTCTGACAACATGAAGTAGGCAAATGTAACCTGCACAAAATAATCAACCCGTATTTTATTTTTGCGGGTCAAACTGATGGTACACTTTAAGTTCCGGGTCACAGGTGAATTCGGATCTCCATTGCTGTTGCTGCTGTCACTGTGGTTAGATGCTTGTGTTGGCGTCTTCTAAAATCACAGAAGAATACGGCTGGATCGAGCCCTATTAACACAGCCGAAGGATTATATTTGGTGTTTTCTGGCAACCGCTCGACGGTGAGTCGTTTGTTTTACGTACTTTGTTTTTTTTTAATAGAAATGTGGTTGCGACACGCCCACTCAATCTATGTATTACTGATTGAAAAATGATCTGATTGATTGAAAGGTCATTCTCTTTTTGTTAATTGTGTGGCCGAATAGATGATATAACCTCAAAATGTTAAATAGGCCCTTTGATTTTTGTAAATTCGTCCTTTTAGGATAGTTTTAGTTATTTTCCATTGATTTTGTTGACGGCCTATAGAACTCTGGAATTGGTTAATTTCTTTGGAGTTGCGCAACAAAACAAAAGAACAAAGGAAAAACAATTGTTTATTGAAACAGTAGTGAAGTCAATTAAGTTTAATTGACTCTGTCAATTAAACTTAAATACAACTTGAAAGTGCACTTTAATTTGATCTGTAACTTTATTTGCATCTGTGACATTAATGTGATCTTTAACTTGAAATTCATTTGAATGATTCCTGAGAAATACTTTATGAAATATAGCTATATTTTTTTGTAATTATTGAATGTTTAGTTATTTTGGATAACAGTTTAACCCTGTATAAATGTGAATGCTAATTTGTTTTTATTTTTATTTATGACATTGTTTAGTTCAGGTTTTTTTCCACCCCTGTTTCAACCCAGGATGGCGAGCTACCGGATCGCCGCAGCTTTGCGGTAGGACTTAAATGAACTAAACTACTTTATGCATTCTGGACCTATTGGCTTGGATCATGGACTAAAAACAGTCGGATTATTGATTGATGGATCATTAATCACCTTGGATTCAAGAACGGACTTAGAATAGGAAAAAAAACAAAAACTCTTGGGTGTCATCAGGGTTTATTGCTTTGTTGTTGTTTTTCTTCTTGTCTTTTGGTTATATTCATAGAAAATCACTATTATTATAAATATTATTATTGAATACCTTCTTAAATATATGCAAAAATATAAGCTTGAATACAATAACTTGAACTTACTTTCTGTCTAATGGTGTTTTATTCACACACACACACAGGCTCCACAGCCGAACCTTTCTGACTGCCTATTATTATATTTGGCCGTAGTCGGGCGCCTAGCCTTAATTAGCGTTACACAAACGGTCACATCATGCCTCAATGTAAAGAAATTCATGAAAGAGAAAAGGGTCACAAAGTCTAAGACTTTGGAGTCAGAATGATTATCCACAAATGGAGAAGACATGGAAACAGATGTGAACCTTCCCAGGAGTTAAAATACTGAGAGAATGCATCAATAGATCCAGGAGAACACGCACACAAAAAAAACAATAAAACAAAAATCTAAAGCACTGTAGGCCTCACTTGCTTTAGTTAAAGTCAGTGTTTAACATTCAGCAGTAAGAGAGACCATCCATAGTTTATACCCGCTTATCCATGCGCAAGGACTGGTGCCCATCTCTAAAACAAATAAGGGACAGATCAAAAATGGCATCCACGAGAGAGTTCAAGGCCAGAAATGACCAAAAAGAACCTAAAGGGTGTAGCGTTAAATCTTGCCGTAAATTTAAACACTTTTTAACAGCACAATATATTCTGAAATGTCTGAGGATACCTGAGGGACAGAATGAGTAACAAACCTGAGAGGAAGTGGTTCTGGCCGATTGTGTGTAGGGGACATTGAGATCAGAGCTGTCTGGAGTGGTGGTTCCTCCGCTGCTCCTTCCCTCCAACTTCCTGAACTTTTGCTCTGCAAAGCTGGTCATCCGCACCAGACCCCCACCTGACCCGCCCGATGAAGAGGCAGGACTGCCTGTATAAGACCTGGGGATGGTGGGCGCAGAACTGGGACAGGGGCTGCCTCTGTCACCTCTCTGTCCCTGTTCGCCCTCAGGGTTGGCTTCCACTTCCTCCTTGTGTTCCACTTCCCTGCTCCTCTCCTGCTTGCCAGGCAGAGGACACGACCTCGTCATGGCCTCACAGTCTGGATCTATATCCGAGTAGTCCCTCAGAGACGAGGAGTCCTCATCCAAACTCTGGATGTCCTCTGTCCGCACATGGATGCCTGTGTCGACTTCATCTGTGGAGGCAGAGTTGGGGTCTCGGTCGTTCACCCGAGCCTTTGCTGAACCAAAGTCGTCTCCGGGAGCTTGAGCCCCTGGAAGGTGTGACGGATCTGCACCATGCAGAAAAAAGCCATTGTCTCCATCTCCAACAGCGAGGCTGGCATGAGGCCGTTCGGTGTCGTGGATGATCTTGAGGGCCTCCTCGATGCTCGGAGGAGTCGATGGGCTGACGCGGGCGGAGTGGTTCCCTTGGTACTTGGTGGGGCTGCTGTTGTCTGGTAAGACTCCATTGGGGCACCTGAAGAAAAGATCCAGGTAAGTAGAAAGTTGAGGACAGTAAAAGTGAATATTGAAAAAATGATTGCTCTATTCAAATGTTTTCGATACTCTCGAATAACAAAAACCTCCAAAGGTTTTTTTTTTTTTTTTGTATGTGGCCAAGGCTCACGCGTTTGTTGAAGTATGTGTTTACCAAGGTGCCACCGGTGATTTTGTAAAAAAAACAAACAAAAAAAAAACAATTCTTCACAACAGATTGTAAAGAATTGGTTGGATTCCAAAAATCTTTGAATTGTATGGAGGTAGATTTGTAATCTTTTTGCATATCTTTACCAGCTGTGGAAATTAGCCTGTGTTTGTATTTAGCTTCCTCCAACTTGTTTTGTCCTTAAAGTAACCAACAAATAAGGCTTTCATCTTTTTCCAGTGCAACATTCTGCTGGGAAAACCTGCATCCAGGGATTCACATGGGGTGTTTTTTTGAAACCTGACACCAAACCAAAACATTTTTTTCAGACCAGTTAGCACTGGATATCGAAAAGCTAATATAACTCCACCTTGTTTTGTTGTTCTTGTCTTCAAATGGTCTAACTACTCTAAAATTAGACTTTTTTTCCCAGATCTGTACACTTTGAGTCACCTGATGCTCATTGTCAACTTTGATCAGTATAATTAAGCAGGCACTTCTTTACCTTTCACAGCTTTTATTGAACTGCAGGTTGTTACATTTATAGATGATGCAGTTAAACTGACAGTAAAAGTCACATTTAAAACCCATTTCCCATTCACACCTGCTTTGGCTCTTAATAGAGAAAGTGTTGTTCCGTCCCAAAGGTTTGCGGGAAGCAAAGTTGTCATCCTCCTCTGGGATCTGTCTGCCCTGACCGTTCACGTCGACCGGCGTGAGGGAGAGGTGGCGTTTCATGCCTCCTCTTGATGCATAATGAACTTTGAACCCCAGACCATCAGTACTGGCTGAGCGGGTCATGGCGCAGGTAGAAGGAGCCTCAAAGGGGGGCAACGTTGCATCTCCATCCAGAGGGATCTCAAAGGAGATTCCCCGAGAGGAGGATCTGAAGAATGAGAAGAGTTGTCAGTGCAACAGGAAAGAAACCGACAGCTATAAAATGTAGGTCCCTGGAGGCTTGGCTGATGGCTTCATATACTCACTGTCTTTCCTTGGGCCACGTCCCGACACAGCCGTCAACATAGGACATGGAGGTAGATCTCTTCATTAGGCCTATTACACACAGTTGAACCTTCTTAGTCTTACATGATCTAAGAAATTATTTGTTTTCATTTAAAAAAAAAAAAAAAAAACAGCAAATGAATCTCGGGGGGGGTTACAGAAGAATAAAGATGATATAATGGGTTTTAACACGTTTCACAGCAGTTTCTTTTCTCGCTTGTATGTCTGTGCTCCATATACGTCATCCAGACCTTAACCCCAGAGGTATTTTGTAAATCGATTACATTTTGCACTGCATCCTTAACAGCTGCACTTTATTTCATTTATTTGCAGTGTGGAGCTGTACACAACCACCAGGGGGCATCTGACTTCTGAACAAAAATCTAAACCTGCACTGATCAAATGGCCTGCTGCACAAAGCTGTAATGTTTGTTTCTCAAGACAAAGTAATGATATCTGGCGGCTCCTTCAACAGATCAGTTGAAGGAGTGACATTTAATAGAAAGATTTGGTAAATCACAGGAAAATCATACAAAAAGAATCATGGATTCTTTTTGTATGATCTTTTTCTACCTTGCTGTTCAGAGTTACCTGAATAGATTTGCAGCTTCCACTTCTTTATGACTTCTGCACAATTCCTTTGAGGATCGAGCACATGCATTTCCACCCGCGTCATATCCATGAAGCTGTTCTCCTAACACAGAGCATCGGCATTCTTGTCGTCCCACTCCACTGAGCTGACACAGTGTTACGCTTTTCCACAAAACCCTCCATGGCATCAATCAATCCACTGCAGTTTTGTTAATTCCCAAAACTAAACCGCACTAATTTGTTATCTTATTACTCAAGAGGAGCACCTAACAACTGGACCGCCAAATTAATTACCTATTTAAAGATTTTTTTTTTTTTCTTTGCCAATACCTAATTTTATTTCTTGAGGGACTTTTGAAAATTTGTAGTGTGTCACAAAATCCTGTCTGTGCATTTAAAAAGAAGGGTCAGATCACTTCTTATTTGTAATACAGACGTGTTTATGTAGCTACATTATCTCATAGAGAGAGACACACGAAGGAACAAATTGCTTCAGACAAAAAGTATAAAGATGGCTCGGTTAGCTTTCCATTAGTCTACTAGCAACAGTCAGCAAAAATACATCCCATTGACCACATTAATATGGCAGATCATATTTAATTCTACCTTCAGCTGTGAGGTTTTCTGGACTGGAAGGTCTGTCTGCATAGTTCTGTTTGACAGGACTGGACACAGGAGCCATATCTCTGCAAGACGATACAGGCTCACAGGCTGCATGGCAAAACAAGACAAGTCCTCCATATCATTAGTCAACAACTGGCATTCAACACATGGAGAATATCACCATCATCAAAAGGAACACGGACTGGACCGTACCGTTAGGGTCGAAGACTCTGGGCTGAACAAATGAGGGTTTCACGACCTCGAACCACCAGAAAAGCTCAGCCATGAACACCAGGTAGTTACTCTGAAAGATTACACACATCTTTAAGCTCAACTCGCACATGTAACATCTGGATTTTTGCAGCTGATTCCCTCTGTACATCTCTGTAGATGTCAACAAAAATCAAACCAGCTCTGAGCATTTTGAAAGACCGCTGAGGTCAAAGTCATCCAACCGGTGCTGGACTCAGATGGACGAGTTCATGTACTTGACTATCTGTGCATGTTGCACGGCGTGACTGCTGTAATGTCAAACCCAGATGTGGCAAAAAAAAAAATATGAGAAGCTACTATACGGAGTTTAGTTTATATGCAGTATCTTGCAGAGCTATTCAAACCTATCAGTGTTTCATATTTCATCATGTAACAACTGTCCTGTGTTTTACTAGGATTGTGTGTAGTAAGACCAACTTTAAATGGTTGTGGAGTATAAGAAAAGGAAACATGGTGTTTTCCAAATGAATACAAGTCTGAAAAGCTTGGCTTGCATTTGTATTCAGCTCCATATAAGCCGATAGTCCTATGTAAATGTAGTTCAAGTGAGTTCCTTTAGAGGTTAGTAAGTAGTGCCTGGCTGTGTGTAATACTGTATATTCTCAGTGTAAATACAGCCATTTGTAAGGCGGCCCTGTACGTCCTATGAAAACGTGACTGAGAAAAATGATTAGTAGGTAGCTAATGATAAAAAAAAAAAAACACCAATTCATTAAGCAGATCTCAGATGTAATTTGTAGACATATAAACACTATCTTCCAATGCGATGTGTTAAACCGTGCACAAATAGTTAAGATTCTGTGGACAGTGAATCTGTGGCAAACAGGCAGCCTGCCAGAGTCTTTAAAAACCCCACATGACTCCCTGTTGCACCATAAAACCAGCATTCAGTCAATGCACAGACAGAGTGGTGAATGAGAAACGGAGGCAGAAGAAGGAAAGCAGAGCGAAGGGTGTGTGAGGATGAAAAGCGACTGGTGTGTGGCGTCACAGAGAGGAAAGTTCCAGTCAGCTCGGACTGTGACTTGAATCCCGAATGTTTCTACCCACGCTCTCTGCATACTATTTACCCAACGCTTGCTTTACTGCTCTGTACTGTCTGGATGGCACTAAGGGACTCCTTGGGTTGTACAGGAAAAAAACAAACAAACAAAAAAAATACTGAGATTTTTGTCTGAAACCTTACATTTGCAAACTTTAAAGACATTTCTTCAAAAACAAAAGAAACATAGCAGGAAGAGTTGGGTCAGGACTCTTGAATCTGTCCTCTGTCTCAGTGGGATGAGGTCAACAGAGAAGAAACGCACACTGAGTATTAAACTTTTCCTTGCGTGACTCAGTTTTGCCTTGGTGTAATTTCCCACCCCAAGTCTCCTTCTTCTCCCCCTAAAAAAAAAAAATCTCTGTTTTTGTCCCTTGAGTAACTGAATCCTGCATCATAAACACAGACCTTTCCACATCTTCCCCATCTGTTTCTTTAAACATCAGAGTAGTGGAAGTTCTTACCTTTATGGATGCATGCGTGTAGAGCATGTCCTCCAGGCTGAAGTGGCAGCAGCGATTGAGGTTGTTCCTGCAAAACTCCTGCACCAGCTGGAGGTTGTACAGACTGTCAGCCAGAGACATGGTCTCCTTGAGGCAAATGTCTGCTCAGCCAGGGGAGGGGTCAGACACACACACAAAGGGAGAGGGAACAGCAACACCAAACAGGAAGAGAGGAAAAGATAAGGCTCAGCTTATGGTAAAACACAGAAGAGAATAAGAAAAAAAAAATAGAGCAAATGCTAATTGTCTTTGCTTGATTCACTCCAAATCTTTGAGACAACTCCAGACAAACGGCATTCAGCTCTTTCTTCATGATTCACCAGCATTTTCACTCCTTGATGTTTCACAACAGCCCTGGCATGTGTAGGACGTTGTAGTGAAGGAAACAGCTGAGGCTTATGGTCGCTAATCTATGCGGTGTGACATCATCTTGAACTGTGCTTCTTACTTATTTTAGGGACAATCCAGCAGCAGGAGAACCTGCTTTAATGAACCGTGGCTTGTTTTCACATCTGGTTCACACGCTTGACTGCGAACTAAATCCAGCCTGAGGAGTTTTCAGGAAAGCAACACAGGGGCTGTTTATTTTTGAAACTGCAGCCTGATAAGTAGCCGTCTAACGGCTCTCTGTAACGTACAACTCCTGACCAATCACGTCTCTGCCCGGGGCGTTTTTTTTTTTTTTTTTTTTTTTTAAAAAAAAAGGGGGGGGGGGGAAAAACCCTTTTTTTTTTTCCCCCCCCCCCTCTTTAAAACC